TAGTGTTTTTTGGAATACTTAAAATTTGCACCTCAGAGGACCGGTTTGGATAGGAACGTCATAAATGTTAAACAGAATGTACCAAGCGTGACATCAGTGCGCCTTGAGTCGCATGAAGGGTTTTATTCTGGGAGGTTCCTCCCCGAGGTCCAGCCCCTTTTCCTTTTGTATACCATTTTTGACAAAAGTTATCCCTTTCATGTACCTTTTATTCATGCAACCTCGTCCCCAGGGCGCTTTCCGTGGCTTTGGAAGTGGGGCCCCACCTCCAAAGCAACCACGGAAAAGCTCCCTGGGGACGAGGTTGCCATTCATGGAGCCCCTTAAACATACCTTGTTTGGGTCCCCTTATAACTGCTGTAAATGCACTTTATTTTAAATATGAATAAATCACAAACCTAGATAATTTTCTCTTCTTTTTCACAGCCATAAAATCCTTTTGCAGCCTTCTTAGGTCATTTTGCAGACCGAAATGACGAATTTCCTTACCTAGTGATCATGAAAACCTAATCGCAGCGGGTTATCATATACCTGAAGCCTGAAATAGGCCATTATAGGGAGTACCCCCCCACCCCCGGCTACTAAAAGTAATGTTATCTTTGTCTTTTTTGTTGTAGGGTCCCTTTCGTTCTTTCCAGCTGTATTTTGTTTCAATGAAGCTACGATGACCCTATGATCACTATTGCCAGTTTTCAGTGTCACACCATTCAAAATAGATCAAATATAAATCAAAACCGTTCAATAGATAAAGTCCAGAATCTGGGAAGTGAAAGGAGGGAAATATGCAAAGACCCTCGCCAAGATTCGGGTCGGAGGAATATTTCGTATACGAAATAGAGATTTGTATGGAGACACCATGCTGGTGCCCATCCGGATGAGCACCAACATGACGGACGGAAACCAACAGAAACATCTGTTACCGAGTTTTGCTACAAAAGCGTGAATTTATTCTTTGAGGAACTCATAAACATTAAAGTAATACTTTTTCTAATACATGAACTGTTTAGAGAGCAAAATTCCCTAAAATAAGTAATTTGTTTAACCCACATGAAAGCTCTCTGGGCCGTCATGTAAATGCTGCGTCACGCAAAAGCTTAGAAATTCAAGCATACTCTATCACAAAACCAACAACCCTTTTGAAGTGAAAATTTGTATGAAAATTAGTTTTCAGCTGCTCTAATACATCGTGAAAGTAAAACATCGATAGTTTTGTTGTTTGAATTTTAGTGGCGTTACATGAAAACCAACAATATTTCATATATTGTACTCGGACCTCTTTCCCCTTTTCTTACATTTCGGTTTTCTTGTTTGCGCCGTTCCCAATATCTAAACGCTTGTAACAGGCAACAGTACCTACAGGAAATCTACGTACTTGAATAACACTATATGGAAATTCGCCACACAAAAAATGAAATGAGAGCATTCTTCATTTTTAAACTTTCCCTTCCCGCGGATAATTAAGGTAAAAACCACGGTAGACGAAGTTGTCCCAGACACCTTAACTATTATATATCTCGGCCTTAAACTCGTAAGATAACGGAAAATGTGAGCTAATGTGTTCACACGATCACTTACCTCGACGGAGTAGAAAAGAATTCGCCTTTCTAATAAAAACTACCTCGCGCTTCCGAAAAACCGAAAGGACTCTCGTCTTAAAAATTCAATTATTAATGAATTCCACCATTTCCGAGGAAACGGTAACAAATTTACAAAATCATCGTCTGATTATTGCTCAATCGCCAGCAGCGCCTGCTTTACTCTATCCTATGATTTTATAGCAACGAATGCATCCATGCAAACAGACTTAAATGCAGAGCGAAATAAAGACTGTTTGAATTTGTTTTAGGATGGCGGATTATGATGCATTCATTATCGAGTTTTGACAATACGGTGTTTTCCCTTTAAGACAGGTGCACTCAGCGACTGTTTTCTTCAAAATATCTGTTCGAAGAACCAAATATTGACTCAAAATTTCCATAGCTCGAGAAAGGCTGAACATTCTAGATTTCCAGTTTTAAAATCAGCAAAGTCAGTATCAAGTGGGGAACCTTGAAAGAGAGATAAAGAGTAGCCTGTGAGCAAGCTCTCTTGGAGGCTCTGGTTCTGCGTCCCCCCGTCTCCACTGATCATGCCCCCGCTCCCCGGCACAGAGAGTTTGCTCGCTGGCTAGCCATAGAGTCCTAAGCACCTTTTTTTCCTCTCATTTCTACAAGTTTTGTGTGGTCTGTCTGTTGAATGAATAGTCGCTCATGAATCAACAGAGAAAATTAATTTATCGGAGAGAGATCTGTAACGTGTGACTCCTGAGTCAAATCATAGTTATTAGAGGAGACTGGTTATGAAAAGCGCAAACATCAATGATAAAAACAACAGTGCTGCAGTTTATGTTGGGAGCACCCTGAAAGTGCACAATCCTTTAAATAATAAATTAATGCAACGTTTTAATTGGTCAATACAATCAAAATGATAGGAATTCTTTTGAACGTTGTGCACTTTCAGGTCCACAAAAACATATAACAAAGGAGTCTGACGGGTTTCATAACCATTCCACTCAATTAACTATGGTCAAATGCTAGTATCCAATATGTTCGGAGAAGATAAGCTCTTGTGGTGAAAATGTTACATAATTTGGCAATATAAAGATATGTATAGCAGGGGCGGATCCAGGATTTTTTTAGGAGGGGGTGCACTCGTCTCTTGCTCTACTTCAACACCAATTAACCACATAGTTTTTTTTTTGGCAGAATACCAGTTGTATTAGAAAACCGCAGGTCATCTCGGGGGGGGGGGGGGGGGGCGC